GTGGGGCCGGTGCGGGAGGGGCGAGGTGGGGCGGTGCGGGAGGGGCGGGGCCGGTGCGGGAGGGGCGAGGTGGGGCCGGTGCGGGAGGGGCGAGGTGGGGCCGGTGCGGGAGGGGCGAGGTGGGGCCGGTGCGGGAGGGGCGGGGCCGGTGCGGGAGGGGCGAGGTGGGGCCGGTGCGGGAGGGGCGAGGTGGGGCCGGTGCGGGAGGGGCGAGGTGGGGCCGGTGCGGGAGGGGCGAGGTGGGGCCGGTGCGGGAGGGGCGAGGTGGGGCCGGTGCGGGAGGGGCGGGGCCGGTGCGGGAGGGGCGAGGTGGGGCCGGTGCGGGAGGGGCGGGGCCGGTGCGGGAGGGGCGAGGTGGGGCCGGTGCGGGAGGGGCGAGGTGGGGCCGGTGCGGGAGGGGCGAGGTGGGGCCGGTGCGGGAGGGGCGAGGTGGGGCCGGTGCCGGAGGGGCGAGGTGGGGCCGGTGCGGGAGGGGCGAGGTGGGGCCGGTGCGGGAGGGGCGAGGTGGGGCCGGTGCGGGAGGGGCGAGGTGGGGCCGGTGCGGGAGGGGCGAGGTGGGGCCGGTGCGGGAGGGGCGAGGTGGGGCCGGTGCGGGAGGGGCGAGGTGGGGCCGGTGCGGGAGGGGCGAGGTGGGGCCGGTGCGGGAGGGGCGAGGTGGGGCCGGTGCGGGAGGGGCGAGGTGGGGCCGGTGCGGGAGGGGCGAGGTGGGGCCGGTGCGGGAGGGGCGAGGTGGGGCCGGTGCGGGAGGGGCGAGGTGGGGGTGCCGGTGCGGGAGGGGCGGGGCCGGTGCGGGAGGGGCGAGGTGGGGCGGGAGGGGCGGTGCGGGAGGGGCGGGGGGCCGGTGCGGGAGGGGCGAGGTGGGGCCGGTGCGGGAGGGGCGAGGTGGGGCCGGTGCGGGAGGGGCGAGGTGGGGCCGGTGCGGGAGGGGCGAGGTGGGGCCGGTGCGGGAGGGGCGAGGTGGGGCCGGTGCGGGAGGGGCGAGGTGGGGCCGGTGCGGGAGGGGCGAGGTGGGGCCGGTGCGGGAGGGGCGAGGTGGGGCCGGTGCGGGAGGGGCGAGGTGGGGCCGGTGCGGGAGGGGCGAGGTGGGGCCGGTGCGGGAGGGGTGGGGCCGGTGCGGGAGGGGCGAGGTGGGGCCGGTGCGGGAGGGGCGAGGTGGGGCCGGTGCGGGAGGGGCGAGGTGGGGCCGGTGCGGGAGGGGTGGGGCCGGTGCGGGAGGGGCGGGGCCGGTGCGGGAGGGGCGGGGCCGGTGCGGGAGGGGCGAGGTGGGGCCGGTGCGGGAGGGGCGAGGTGGGGCCGGTGCGGGAGGGGCGAGGTGGGGCCGGTGCGGGAGGGCGGGGCCGGTGCGGGAGGGGCGGGGCCGGTGCGGGAGGGGCGAGGCCGGTGCGGGAGGGGCGGGGCCGGTGCGGGAGGGGCGAGGTGGGGCCGGTGCGGGAGGGGCGGGGCCGGTGCGGGAGGGGCGAGGTGGGGCCGGTGCGGGAGGGGCGGGGCCGGTGCAGGAGGGGCGAGGTGGGGCCGGTGCGGGAGGGGCGGGGCCGGTGCGGGAGGGGCGAGGCCGGTGCGGGAGGGGCGAGGCCGGTGCGGGAGGGGCGGGGCCGGTGCGGGAGGGGCGAGGTGGGGCCGGTGCGGGAGGGGCGGGGCCGGTGCGGGAGGGGCGAGGTGGGGCCGGTGCGGGAGGGGCGAGGTGGGGCCGGTGCGGGAGGGGCGGGGCCGGTGCGGGAGGGGCGGGGCCGGTGCGGGAGGGGTGGGGCCGGTGCGGGAGGGGCGGGGCCGGTGCGGGAGGGGCGGGGCCGGTGCGGGAGGGGCGAGGTGGGGCCGGTGCGGGAGGGGCGAGGTGGGGCCGGTGCGGGAGGGGCGAGGTGGGGCCGGTGCGGGAGGGGCGGGGCCGGTGCGGGAGGGGCGAGGTGGGGCCGGTGCGGGAGGGGCGAGGTGGGGCCGGTGCGGGAGGGGCGAGGTGGGGCCGGTGCGGGAGGGGCGAGGTGGGGCCGGTGCCGGAGGGGCGAGGTGGGGCCGGTGCCGGAGGGGCGAGGTGGGGCCGGTGCGGGAGGGGCGAGGTGGGGCCGGTGCGGGAGGGGCGAGGTGGGGCCGGTGCGGGAGGGGCGAGGTGGGGCCGGTGCGGGAGGGGCGAGGTGGGGCCGGTGCGGGAGGGGCGAGGTGGGGCCGGTGCGGGAGGGGCGAGGTGGGGCCGGTGCGGGAGGGGTGGGGCCGGTGCGGGAGGGGCGAGGTGGGGCCGGTGCGGGAGGGGCGAGGTGGGGCCGGTGCGGGAGGGGCGAGGTGGGGCCGGTGCGGGAGGGGCGAGGTGGGGCCGGTGCGGGAGGGGTGGGGCCGGTGCGGGAGGGGCGGGGCCGGTGCGGGAGGGGCGGGGCCGGTGCGGGAGGGGAGAGGTGGGGCCGGTGCGGGAGGGGCGGGGCCGGTGCGGGAGGGGCGAGGTGGGGCCGGTGCGGGAGGGGCGGGGCCGGTGCGGGAGGGGCGGGGCCGGTGCGGGAGGGGCGAGGCCGGTGCGGGAGGGGCGGGGCCGGTGCGGGAGGGGCGAGGTGGGGCCGGTGCGGGAGGGGCGGGGCCGGTGCGGGAGGGGCGAGGTGGGGCCGGTGCGGGAGGGGCGGGGCCGGTGCGGGAGGGGCGGGGCCGGTGCGGGAGGGGCGAGGCCGGTGCGGGAGGGGCGGGGCCGGTGCGGGAGGGGCGAGGTGGGGCCGGTGCGGGAGGGGCGGGGCCGGTGCGGGAGGGGCGAGGTGGGGCCGGTGCGGGAGGGCGAGGTGGGGCCGGTGCGGGAGGGGCGGGGCCGGTGCGGGAGGGGCGGGGCCGGTGCGGGAGGGGTGGGGCCGGTGCGGGAGGGGCGGGGCCGGTGCGGGAGGGGCGGGGCCGGTGCGGGAGGGGCGAGGTGGGGCCGGTGCGGGAGGGGCGGGGCCGGTGCGGGAGGGGCGAGGTGGGGCCGGTGCGGGAGGGGCGGGGCCGGTGCGGGAGGGGCGAGGTGGGGCCGGTGCGGGAGGGGAGAGGTGGGGCCGGTGCGGGAGGGGCGAGGTGGGGCCGGTGCCGGAGGGGCGGGGCCGGTGCGAGAGGGGCGGGGCCGGTGCGGGAGGGGTGGGGCCGGTGCGGGAGGGGCGAGGTGGGGCCGGTGCCGGAGGGGCGGGGCCGGTGCGAGAGGGGCGGGGCCGGTGCGGGAGGGGCGGGGCCGGTGCGGGAGGGGCGGGGCCGGTGCGGGAGGGGCGGGGCCGGTGCGGGAGGGGCGAGGTGGGGCCGGTGCGGGAGGGGCGAGGTGGTGCCGGTGCCGGAGGGGCGAGGCGGGGCGGGGCCGGTGCTGGAGGGGCGGGGCGGGGCCGGTGCCGGCGGGGCGGGGCGGGGCCGGTGACGGCGGGGCGGGGCCGGTGCCGGCGGGGCGGGGCCGGTGCCGGCGGGGCGGGGCCGGTGCCGGCGGGGCGGGGCCGGTGCCGGCGGGGCGGGGCGGGGCCGGTGCCGGCGGGGCGGGGCGGGGCCGGTGCCGGCGGGGCGGGGCGGGGCCGGTGCCGGTGCCGGAGGGGCGAGGTGGGGCCGGTGCCGGAGGGGCGGGGCGGGGCCGGTGCCGGAGGGGCGGGGCGGGGCCGGTGCCGGAGGGGCGGGGCGGGGCCGGTGCCGGAGGGGCGGGGCGGGGCCGGTGCCGGAGGGGCGGGGCGGGGCCGGTGCCGGAGGGGCGGGGCGGGGCCGGTGCCGGAGGGGCGGGGCGGGGCCGGTGCCGGAGGGGCGGGGCGGGGCCGGTGCCGGAGGGGCGGGGCGGGGCCGGTGCCGGCGGGGCGGGGCCGGTGACGGAGGGGCGGGGCCGGTGCCGGAGGGGCGGGGCCGGAGGGGCGGGGCGGGGCCGGTGCCGGAGGGGCGGGGCCGGTGCGGGAGGGGCGGGGCAGGGCCGGTGCGGGAGGGGCGGGGCGGGGCAGGGCCGGTGCGGGAGGGGCGGGGCCGGAGGGGCGGGGCGGGGCCGGTGCCGGAGGGGCGGGGCAGGGCCGGTGCGGGCGGGGCGGGGCAGGGCCGGTGCGGGAGGGGCGGGGCGGGGCAGGGCCGGTGCGGGAGGGGCGGGGCGGGGCAGGGCCGGTGCGGGAGGGGCGGGGCGGGGCAGGGCCGGTGCGGGAGGGGCGGGGCGGGGCAGGGCCGGTGCGGGAGGGGCGGGGCGGGGCAGGGCCGGTGCGGGAGGGGCGGGGCGGGGCAGGGCCGGTGCGGGAGGGGCGGGGCGGGGCGGGAGGGGCGGGGCGGGGCCGGTGCGGGAGGGGCGGGGCGGGGCCGGTGCGGGAGGGGCGGGGCGGGGCCGGTGCGGGAGGGGCGGGGCGGGGCCGGTGCGGGAGGGGCGGGGCGGGGCCGGTGCGGGAGGGGCGGGGCGGGGCCGGTGCGGGAGGGGCGGGGCGGGGCCGGTGCGGGAGGGGCGGGGCGGGGCCGGTGCGGGAGGGGCGGGGCGGGGCCGGTGCGGGAGGGGCGGGGCGGGGCCGGTGCGGGAGGGGCGGGGCGGGGCCGGTGCGGGAGGGGCGGGGCGGGGCCGGTGCGGGAGGGGCGGGGCGGGGCCGGTGCGGGAGGGGCGGGGCGGGGCCGGTGCGGGAGGGGCGGGGCGGGGCCGGTGCGGGAGGGGCGGGGCGGGGCCGGTGCGGGAGGGGCGGGGCGGGGCCGGTGCGGGAGGGGCGGGGCGGGGCCGGTGCGGGAGGGGCCGGTGCGGGAGGGGCGGGGCGGGGCCGGTGCGGGAGGGGCGGGGCGGGGCCGGTGCGGGAGGGGCGGGGCGGGGCCGGTGCGGGAGGGGCGGGGCGGGGCCGGTGCGGGAGGGGCGGGGCGGGGCCGGTGCGGGAGGGGCGGGGCGGGGCCGGTGCGGGAGGGGCGGGGCGGGGCCGGTGCGGGAGGGGCCGGTGCGGGAGGGGCGGGGCGGGGCCGGTGCGGGAGGGGCGGGGCGGGGCTGGTGCGGGAGGGGTGCGGGGTTGTATGAGTTGTGATGGTAGTGGAAGGGGTGAGGAGAGGTGCTAGAGGAGGAGGGAGGGGGAAGTAGAGGGGTGCTGACGTACCTGGGTGGGCGGGGCTGGTGCAGGACGGGCAGGAGAGGACCATCATCTTGATCATCTCCTTGTGCTCCTCCCCGCTGCTCCCAATAAGGAAGGTCTTGGGAACACTAGCCATCGTTGGTAGGTGTTGTGGTGCGGGTGAGGTTGTCTACTGGTGGGGAGGGTACCAGACCATGGCAGGTGAGGTAATGCGGGTCCACAGCGGCCTACAGACGGCAGCCGTGGCTCTGTCCTACTGCGGCCACCCACACATCACGCCCGCCACCCTTCACTCCCTACACTTTAACACAACCCGCACTTAATACTCTTGCCTTTAGTCTACTCACGTCCCTTCTAATTATTACCTGCAGGCAAATCACTTGTTAACTTCGGCCACGGGCGTGACACGTGTAATTACCTAAGTGTAATTACCTAAGTGTAGTTACAGGATGAGAGCTACGCTCGTGGTGTCCCGTCTTCCCAGCACTCTTTGTCATATAACGCTTTGAAACTACTGACGGTCTTGGCCTCCACCACCTTCTCACTTAACTTGTCTGTCACATATCTTGACAGGAAACAAGAAACACGACTGTCTGTTCCATGCTCGTTACGGCGCTTTATGCGTAATTCTATTTGTCGTTTCCAGCGGTAATATATTCATTAGTGGCGTTTGTATCATACGTTATTGCCCCCCTTCCTTACTCCTCCCTCCCTCAACCTCTCAGATAACCGTAAACCGCTCACCAGCAACACATGGACAATGGGCGAACAAGATGATGACAAATGAGAGGACCTCATAGTGACCATGAGAGGGTTAATAGAGCAGATAATGATAAATCACGAATGGTGGAACAGGGGGGGGGGGTGGCCTTCAACTTTAAAGCAATAGACTGGAGACCTACGAAGCAAGAAACGAGGACATTTGGACAAGCAGATTTGTATACCTCACCCTGAAGACATTCATATATCAAGCAGGCCACAAGACTGAAGACAGGGCATGTTCCGTCAATACTGGATTTAATATTCAATAGGAACGAAGAGGAGTATAAGTATAATCAGAGAACACCGTACCAACGCATAGGTATAATCAGAGAACACCGTACCAACGCATAGGTATAATCAGAGAACACCGTACCAACGCATAGGTATAATTAGAGAACACCGTACCAACGCATAGGTATAATCAGAGAACACCGTACCAACGCATAGGTATAATCAGAGAGCACAGAGGTCCACAGCTATGCTGGCGATGAGTCACAATAACGTGGCTGAAGTATGTTGACCAGACCACACACTAGAAAGTGAAGGGACGACGACGTTTCACAGCTACTCAACATCCAGCCAACACCAAAATATATTGTCAGTACACAAGTGGGCGTGTTCAAAACAACTCGCAGAACCCCTCCAGAACCCAACACGCAGAGTACAGAGGAGAGGCAACAAGAGACCCGACACTGGACACGCCGATGGCAATGGGATAACAACATCCGCGTGTCGATTGATGAAGATTAAGCCACCCAAAAGGTGGCACGGGCATGAATAGCCCGTAAGTGGTGGCCCTTTTGAGCCATCACCAGTACCAATAGATGATACTGGAGATCGGTGGAGGTGCGGCTGCACCCTGCGTGACGGGAGATGTGTCCAGTCATCCGCGTGTCTCAGAGTTCGCGGTAATGATGCACAGGACAAAACTATAAGAGTGGTAGTAGCCTAATCGCACACAAGTTGGAGAACAAAAGCAGCTACAATAAAGTTCAACAATGCTAGCTTATCAAAGGTTAAAAAGTAAGAGCAGTTCAACCCCCGCAAACACAGGGCGAGGCGAACACACAGTCGTTTGAAATGTCATCATTTGAAGAGGATAATGAGTGGACAAACATCAAATATGACATTACTCATTCTCCAAACATTGACCCGACCAGCAAAACGGAGATCCGACCTCAGAGAGCAGAGAGGGACCCGACACCAGGAAACAAGAACCAGACACCCGAAAACAGCGACCCAATACCTAAAACAGGGATCGCAAAAGGGAATCCAATACCAAGAGGAGACCTGATCAGACAGCACGGAGCCGACCGGCTGTATGAAGCCGACCAGATGAAAGGAGCCGACCCGCTGCAGGGAGCCGACCAGCTGCAGGGAGCCGAGCCGCTGCAGGGAGCCGACCAGCTGCAGGGAGCCGAGCCGCTGCAGGGAGCCGAGGAACAACAGGTACAAGGAGGAGGAAGAGAATAACAAGCAACAGTGGAAGGCGGGACGCAGCGTGCAAGGTATTGATCCACCGGCAAGCTGGTGCCGTCTGGTGGTCTGGCCCAGTTGTGTGCTCCGTCACCGCCGCCGTCGTCGTCACCACCCACACCCTGCCCGGCACCACCACCACCCATACACACTCATAGCCCCTACCATACATACTCACCGCCCTACCATACATACTCGCCGCGCTACCATACACACTCGCCGCCCCTACCATACATACTCGCAGCCATACCATACATACTCGCCGCCCTACCATATATACTCACCGCGCTACCATACATACATACTCGCTGCCCTACCATACATACTCCCGCCCTACCATACATACTCGCCGCGCTACCATACATACTCGCCGCGCTACCATACATTCTCGTCACGTTACCACGTCTTATATATATTTCCAAAAATTACACCATTTTATTGACAGTTGAGTGACGGGACCAAAGAGCGGAAGCTCAACCTCCGCAAGAACAATTAGTCGAGAACATCTCCACCACCACCACAATACACATCATGTCTTAGTACAGTGAAGGTAAAGTACCGTGTTATACAAGGAAACGTTGAGGAAGAGATCACAAACGCATGGACTACCATACGATAGAGGACTTCCTGCTTGATCACAGACGCATGAACTACACAATGCGATGGAGGATTTCCTGCTTGATCACAGACTCGGGAACTACCATACGATGGAGGACTTCCTGCTTGATCACAGACGCATGAACTACACAATGCGATGGAGGATTTCCTGCTTGATCACAGACTCGGGAACTACCATACGATGGAGGACTTCCTGCTTGATCACAGACTCGGGAACTACCATACGATGGAGGACTTCCTGCTTGATCACAGACGCATGAACTACACAATGCGATGGAGGACTTCCTGCTTGATCACAGACTCGGGAACTACCATACGATGGAGGACTTCCTGCTTGATCACAGACTCGGGAACTACCATACGATGGAGGACTTCCTGCTTGATCACAGACGCATGAACTACACAATGCGATGGAGGATTTCCTGCTTGATCACAGACTCGGGAACTACCATACGATGGAGGACTTTCTGGATGAAATCCAATGAGAAAGAGAAGTGGAAGGGAAGACAGCACATGAGATGTAGACTTCTTTGCTGGTGAATGTGGCGATGCAACGGATCAGTTTATACCTCTCAAGGAGGTGGACGTTGTCAACGAATTACGTTGTCAACCATTATCTAATTTTTCTATTAAAATGCTTGTGACAGGAAATCTCCCAGAAATCTGTAAAAACACAAACGTATTCCCAATATTTAAAAAGAGGGGAAAGAAAGGAGATACTAAATTATAGACTGATGTCATTGTCAAATATTCTACGTAAATGCTCAAGAAAGTATGCAGGCGATGAGTCACAATAACGTGGCTGAAGTATGTTGACCAGACCACACACTAGAAATTGAAGGGACGACGACGTTTCGGTCCGTCCTGGACCATTCTCAAGTCGATTGTTCAATCAATCGACTTGAGAATGGTCCAAGACGGACCGAAACGTCGTCGTCCCTTCAATTTCTAGTGTGTGGTCTGGTCAACATACTCAAGAAAGTAATCAGGTGGAACAGTTGGAAAGGGCCGACTATGTCACTTTCCATTAAAAAAAAATTGATTGACAGTTGAGAGGCGGGCCGAAAGAGCCAGAACTCAACCCCCGCAAGCACAACTAGGTGAATACATCTAGTCAAACACAAAAAGAAGTTAGAAAAGGTTGAGAGGTATGCCACCAGGCTGGCACCCGAGCCTAGAGGAATGAATGAGCTGCGAGGAAAGATTACTGGAACTGAACCTCACGAAACTGGAAGACAGAAGAGTTAAAAAGAGACGTGATCACTACCTACAAAATTCTCGAAGGAATTGACAGGGTAGATAATGATACACTGTTTAACACGGGTGGTACGCGAACAAGGGAAAAAAGTTGGAAACTGAGTACTCAAATGAGCCACAGGGACATTAGAAAGATCTTTTCAGTGTCAGAGTAGTTAACAGTTGGAATGCATTAGGCAGTGATGTGGTGGAGGCTGACTCCATACACAGTTTCAAATGTAGATATAATAGAGCCCAGTAGGCTCAGGAATCAGTACACCAGTTGATTGACAGTTGAGAGGCGGGACCAAAGAGGCAGAGCTCAACCCCCGCAAGTACAACTCGGTGAGTACAACTAGGCGAGTGCATGGCACATCCTCACATACACTAGTCTACACGATAAACACAGATATGTCTGCACCAGCTAGAAGCTGAATGATGGAATCAGAGTTTGTCTTCTGTGGATTCCTTCCCATATTGGTCTCCGAATGCATGATAGAACTGATGAGTTAGCCAAGACTTTTGCTCATAAAGAGGGAATTGATTACCATCTTGGACTGCCTTTGAGCAGCCTACGTGAGGCAAAGTGAAATTCACACCAGTTACTCCATCTATCATTCTATTATGCAGGAAGAACCGCACGTCTATGAGTCATCCAATAAGGTTAGCAGACTTCTAGATGTTACCAATGCTAGGCTTAGGCTCGGCTACAAGTACCTATGGCAGTTTGTAACATCTGCTGATGTAAATTAGACTAAATGTAAACTCTGTCAGCAGAACTATTTTTTTTGGAGATATTCGCATACTTTGCGTCATTATATAATGGAATGTGAAAAAATCGTGGAATTCAGAGATAACACCATCAATGAAGTTCAAGAAATGTGTAAGTCCTTCATTCATAATAATGTACTGCCAGGAATATTAGCAAAGTATCCAAAGTTTGCTTACTGTAGGTGTAGCCTGCACATGACTGTAAAGCTGCCGCCCAGTTGGGTGGGTGTGGAGCACATGACTGTAAAGCTGCCGCCCAGTTGGGTGGGTGTGGAGCACATGACTGTAAAGCTGCCGCCCAGTTGGGTGGGTGTGCAGCAAGACTAGTAACTGTGTGACTCACCATAGATGTAAAGTGCCTTGTATAGTGACTGTTGTGAGCCTCTTGTTGAATCACTTGTGATACAAAAGATTATCGATGTGTATATGTATTTATGTGAATGATTGTATATATAATATATATATATATATATATATATATATATATATATATATATATATATATATATATATATATATATATATATATGTCGTACCTAGTAGCCAGAACGCACTTCTCAGCCTACTATGCAAGGCCCGATTTGCCTAATAAGGCAAGTTTTCATGAAATAATTGTTTTTCGACTACCTAACCTAACCTAACTTTTTCGGCTACCTAACCTAACCTTTAAAGATAGGTTAGGTTAGGTAGGGTTGGTTAGGTTCGGTCATATATCTACGTTAATTTTAACTCGAATAAAAAAAAGTGACCTCATACATATTGAAATGGGTAGCTTTATCATTTCATAAGAAAAAAATTAGAGAAAATATATTAAATCCGGAAAACTTGGCTTATTAGGCAAATCGGGCCTTGCATTGTAGGTTGAGAAGTGCGTTCTGGCTACTAGGTACGACATATATATATATATATATATATATATATATATATATATATATATATATATATATATATATATACATAAACATTAACAATTGTGTAACTAGCGTCAAAAGATTGTCACTGGCTTAGCTAAACGAACTCTGGGGTTCAGTTCCTGAACACATTATGTGCCTCTGTAACCCTTTACACCACCATCCACGGGATGGGTATGGGGTGCATAATAATGAAAGAAATGGAAATCTACACAACACTCTTTTTTCCAATGTTGGTCTACACGACACTTTTCCCAATGTTGGTCTACACGACACTTTTCCCAATGTTGGTCTACACGACACTTTTCCCAATGTTGGTCTACACGACACACTTTTCCCAATGTTGGTCTACACGACACTTTTCCCAATGTTGGTCTACACGACACTTTTCCCAATGTTGGTCTACACGACACTTTTCCCAATGTTGGTCTACACGACACTCTTTTTTCCAATGTTGGTCTACACGACACACTTTTCCCAATGTTGGTCTACACGACACACTTTTCCCAATGTTGGTCTACACGACACACTTTTCCCAATGTTGGTCTACACGACACACTTTTCCCAATGTTGGTCTACACGACACACTTTTCCCAATGTTGGTCTACACGACACACTTTTCCAAATGTTGGTCTACACGACACACTTTTCCAAATGTTGGTCTACACGACACACTTTTCCCAATGTTGGTCTACACGACACACTTTTCCCAATGTTGGTCTACACGACACACTTTTCCCAATGTTGGTCTACACGACACACTTTTCCCAATGTTGGTTTACACAGGACACTTAACGTACGAGGATCTTCATGACCAAAACTGTAGGAGTACACTGCTAAGCTTATGCACTGAAAGAGCTTAATAATGGGAGAGAAGCGCGCTGCCTCCGCTCCCGTAGCACTCACTCCATGCACTTAACACAATCACGCTACACTCTGAGTTGCTATGAGCCAATACTGAAGCACCAGTGCACCGTGTACTGTTTAAGGTGTAGCATGCCCAGAGAAGCAGCAGGTGGTAGCCACCACGACCAGCTGCCGACATCAGCAGCAGCAGCAGTCCAACAAATCCATATCTTGGCGGTGGTGCAAGAGCAGTGGGAGGCGAGGAAGTGCCATGACAGTTATGTGGCACTGTGTGGCACTCTAGCTCATTTTGCCTATATTGGTGAGACAGAGACGTACTCATCTCTCTCACACACACACACACCCGCAGCAACTCCCACTCCAAGCAGCTGTGAAGCCGACGTGTCTAGCCGGAGAGTAGAAGACTGGCACCCACCACCAGTCCTTCACTCCCGGTGTCCGGCTCTTACTGATTTTACCAGCCTCCCTCCCTCCTCTCTCTCTCTCTCTCTCTCTCTCTCCCTCCCGCCTCCTATCCTCTCTCCTCTCCTCTCCCTCCCGCCTCCTATCCTCTCTCCTCTCCTCTCCCTCCCTCCCTCCTCTCCCCCTTCCTTATCTCTCTCCTCTCCCTCCCTCCCGCCTCCTTTCCTCTCTTCTCTTCTCTCCTCTCTCTCCCTCCCTCCCTCCCTCCCTCCCCCCTCCCCCCCGCAATTCTCCCTCATATACCACACGCGTCTCACGTTTGTTAATTCCTCTGAATATTTTATTCAAATATGAGATATATTTCATTCCCGACGACTGTACATTTTCGCTAGTCTTTCACACACACACACACACACACACACACACACACACACACACACACACACACACACACACACACACACACAATGCATCTCTTCCTGTATCATTACCTTCAGTGACCATAGTGGCCAGCTGGGGGCCGCTGTTCATGTCAGCACCGGCACATACCTTCATTAATGTCTCCGTGGCCTAGGTCTATGTCCCCACCCGCCTCCCTCTAGGCCTGCACCACGTGTTGCATCACTCTCAAGCAATGCCACCCCCCCACCCCCCCACCCCATTGTGTTGTGCCAGACCCCAACAATTACTTGTTGTGTGGGACTTTAAAAGACCGAACAGCCTGTTCAACAATCCACATAAAGCGCACCGGGAATTATTCTTGCATTACACGAGTCTTGCCAGACTGGATGATGCGTGTTGATGTATTACAAACTGCATGGGCGACAAGGACTGGTGCCCAACCACTTGGGACGGTGTGCACGAAGGGAGACCATCACTCTACCGGCCAGCCCAAGTGGTTGAGGCTGGTCCACGTGACTGAAATATTATCCACGATACGTGTGGGTCGCCGCCACACAACACCACTATACCTTGGTATAGTGGCCAAGGTATACCTTGCTATACTATACTGGTGCCACTATACCTTGGTATAGTGACCAAGGTATACCTTGGTATACTATACTGGTGCCACTATACCTTGGTATAGTCACTATACTTTGGTATAGTGGCCAAGGTATCTTCTTGGTTATCTTGAGATGATTTCGGGGCTTAGTGTCCCCGCGGCGCAGTCCTCGACCAGGCCTCCACCCCCAGGAAGCAGCCCGTAGCAACTGTCTAACTCCCAGGTACCTATTTTCACTGCTAGGTAACAGGGGCATCGGGGTGAAAAACATTTTGACCATTTGTCTCCGCCTCCACCGGGAATCGAACCCGGAACCTCTGGACTACGATTCCGAAGCGTTGTTCACCCAGCTGTCATGCCTCACCACCTTACCTTTTAGTTACCTTGCCATTATTTCGGGGCTTATCCCCGGTCGTCGACCAGGCCTCCTCGTTGCTGGACTGGTCAACCAGGCTGTTACACGCGGCTGCTCGCAGCCTGACGTACGAGTCACAGCCTGGTTCACCAGGTATCATTTGGAGGTGTTTATCAAGTTCTCTCTTAAACACTGTGAGGGGTCGGCCAGTTATGCCCCTTATGTGTAGTGGAAGCGTGTTGAACAGTCTCGGGCCTCTAATGTTGATAGAGTTCTCACTCAGAGTACCTGTTGCACCTCTGCTCTTCAACCAGCACACAACACACTACACCAGTGACGTGATAGACAACAGGTACAAGGCTAAGTAGGAAGGGCAGGAAGAGGTAGACCTCACTCACCCGCAGACACTGACAGGTCAGTACTGAGAGACAGGCCAGTACCGCCATACCTTGGTACAGAAGCAAGAGAGGTACACATATGCGTCACCAGCACACAACACAACACCACCCTACTTTGCAACAGAGGCACCAGAGGCAGGGACTGGTACTTATGCCTCACCATCACTACAAGAGGCAGCGGTGAGAGGCAGCTAGGAGGAGCAAGGAGACATGGTCAGGCGGCGGCCGTCGTGCCTGCTGAGAGCGGGACAGTGTAAGACACACGCCCTCGGTGGCTGCTGCTCCTCAACCACAACACACCCATCATCATCACACTCTCTCTCACTCTCTTCCCACACACGGTAACGTACCACACACACCTGGGGCCTCACGGACCACTGGACAACGCTCCGGTTTCGTAGTCCTATCTAGGGTTTTGGGATCGATCCCCGGCGGAGGCGGAAATAGGCAGAGTTTCTTTCACCATGATGCACCTCTTCACCTAGCAGTAAATAGGTACCTGGGAGTTAGACGGATGCTATGGGCTCTTTCATGTATGTGTGTGTGAGTGTTGTGTGAGTATTATATAAATATATATATATATATATATATATATATATATATATATATATATATATATATATATATATATATATATATATATAGAGAGAGAGAGAGAGAGAGAGAGAGAGAGAGAGAGAGAGAGAGAGAGAGAGAGAGAGAGAGAGAGAGAGAGAGAGGAGAGAGGAGAGAGGAGAGAGGAGAGAGGAGAGAGAGAGAGAGAGAGTGTGTGTGTGTTAAGGGGCATCACTGACGTTAATGAGAGTAATAAGTGACATGCTAGTGGCAACTTCACCGGTAGCAACTAACGTATTTTCACAGTTTATTATTATTATTTATTATAAATTAGTGGTAGTGGAGGTAAAGAGTGTCATGAAAGAGGTATATGGAGGGAGAGGTGCGTGGTGGGAAATATTACCAGCGGAAGGCTGTGCTCACTATCACTGACACTTATCACTCACCACTTCCACCCACCACCAACCTCTACACTGCCCGCCTCCCGCTCCTCTAACACACTCCCCCCGTGACACCAGTTGGCTGGGTTTTCTCCCACTGCTTTGTTTGTTATTATCCTGGACAGGTAACCTGTCACACTAATTGCCGGCCGCCACCAACAACAACACACCTTCTCAAGGATGCAACCCACAACACTTGTCTAGTTTATTTAGTGCTAGGAGAATAGGAGCATCAAGTGAAAGAAATTGTTGCCCAAACGTCTCTGTCCTCAATCTGTGCTCAGGCCTGGCTCGTTAAAGCTGTGGTCGTCCCCCAAGACGCATAGGGGGGGGGGGGGGGGAAGGAACAAACTGCCAGAGGGAAGAGAGGAGGGAAGAGAGGAGGGAAGAGAGGAGGGAAGAGAGGAAGGAAGACGATTCAGGCAACTAGGAAAAAGAGTAATGATCAGAACACTGTATTGGGGAACACCTTCGTACTGTCGAGTAATTATCAAAACATGACTTTGTAGATCGATTGGCCAATGAGGCTTGCAGGAAAGAAAACATTGATTATGACTTTGGACTATCTAATGCAGTTATTAGAAACATGCAGATTAAAGAAATTAATTCAGATTTAGAAGAACTAAGAAATGCCCGGAGACCTGAAAGCTGCAGTATTAAAAGTTATGACAAGTTTTGTAATAACAGGTATTTGTATGGTCAGCACAGTAACCGGACCAGGCAATGTGATGTAGTCATTGTGGTAATTCGCCTTGGCTATAGACACATCTGGCAGGTTAGTGAGGCTGAGCCACTACCAGAATACTCAGATTGTAAACTCTGTTATAAACCTTTAATGCATTCACTAGAACACTATGTTGTTGAATGTGAAACCGTAAAGGACTTTAGACCTCCTGGCCTCTTGTACCACCAACTGTAACTATTTTATTGACTCAGGTGTTCTGGACGACATCCTAACAATTTACCCAAAATATGCTTGTCCATTTTAAAGAATGAAAAACAATTTTTATTTATATTCCTTCTAAGCTGCATCACTTATGAACCCATCCCTGCCCTTGTGTGGCAGTGCACAATAGAAAGTTGTTTTCACATATCCATACATTAAAACATTGATTGTAACCATGATATATATGTGCTTCAGCCTACAGTTTAGACCTATTGTCTTATGTATGACCCTCTGTCCTGCGTGACAGTGAATACCAGCATTATCCTCACTTAAGACGTAATCGAAATCCTCAGATTAGGCAAAATTGTAATTGTCAATAAAAATGTTAATAAAAATAATATCAAAACGTGGCACCAAGCCGGGAAGGCGATATTTTATTTATTTATTTATATATATACAAGAAGGTACGTTGGGATTGTGAGGATACATAATCTAGTAATTACAATCTTATAAAGCCACTAGTACGCGCCGCGTTTCGGGCAGAACCAACTCTGATACAACACCATCAAATGTGCGGGATAACCATGGGCCGCTAAACATCACTAAGGATGCCAATACGAGAACAAAAGCGCATGAGGCGAGCGATATCAAAGGTATCCGATTCACCAAGAACTCTACTGAGGGCCAAGTGACCGGGAGAGACGGTCGGGAAGCATACTCTACACTGTTCCTATTGGCCCACAAGAGGCTCTATAAACAATGTATCCGTCTATGTTTCATTAAGGCCTATCAACCTCAGGATGATTGGCCTTAATTGATTGTTGATTGGTAAACAGAATAATAGCATATCAACCCACAAACTCTTTAGTTAGACATGCAAAGAGCAATAAATGCAATAAGCTATATAAATATTAAATAGTTACTAGAAAAACAATTATTAGCTTAAACTTACTTACACAAATGATAACGTTTGGTTAAGTAAAGATATGGAGTATGTTCACCAATAAATCAAATGAATATACCGTCAATGCCTGACGGGAGAACTACTGTTAAATGTTAATGTTTACCCTTTAAAGTTCCCATTTTCTATAATAGCTAGATGCCTTCGTCGCCACAGTACGAGACCTGTCGACAAACTGCACCATAAATCAAAATCAGTAACTCCTATGCCAATGTTACAAAAATATTAACATACTTAATCATTAAAGAAAACGGAAAACGTATACAGTATATATATATATATATATATATATATATATATATATATATATATATATATATATATATATATATATATATATATATTACATATATATATATATATTACATATATATATATATATATATATATATATATATATATATATATATATATATATATATATATATTT